TATGATTTTTTTCTTCTTTAGCTTGTTGTTACGATGGATTATATGAACGCATTTTCATATGTTGAACCAGCCTTACATCCCTGGTATAAACCTTACTTGGTTGTTGTGTATAATTCTTTTTATACATCATTGGATTCAATTTGCTATTATTTTATTGAGGAATTGTTTTTTTCTTTGAGCCACACTTGTAAAAATAATTGTTGTTCAAGAATAAATAAGTTTTACACTTTATAGAAAATTCAGATTGAAAAGTAAAAGTACTTAATGCCATCACTCAGAGATAGATACTCCACCATTTTGGCATATTTTTTATAGTCTTTTATAATAGAAATAATAACAATAACAATAAATATCATTATTACTTCATTGAGTGACTACTTGAAGTAACTGATAACTGAGGTAGAAATCCCATGGTGCTCTGTTAACAAAATGGGGCTGATGAAAGGAGGAAAGAGGATACTAATGACTGCTTTTGTCTAGAGGCTCCTGATTAAGATGAGAAAGATGGTTTAAGGAAGAGATTAAATGTTTACTTTAATAACCTTTTCTCTACCCTTCTGAACACCCCATTGTAAACTCTGAGCAATTCAGGCTTCTAACCAGGTTCTCAGGATAATGTTTGACAGCACTGAGAATGTTGGTAATGGAATGTAGTTCATAGTTCATGTCTGCTGTGTTCCTAGGCTCCTGGTTAATTTTCAAGCCTTAGGAATGTGCAGTTGTTTTACTTACTAAGAGTGGTTTTTCCACTCATAGATAAAAGACAAAGGAAATGGGAAGTTTTGCTATCCACTGAGAAAGGACTCTGCCCTCCTGGTTGCTGATGAAGCTCTTCCCTTGCCTGTCTTCACTGGAGGCTGGCAGGTTTTAGAAGGAGCTCTCTTGGAGTAAAATGCCCAAATAAATGCTGGAAGCTATACAGAATCCTTAATTTTGAGATTCCCAACCTGAAAGTTTCTGTGGACACTGGCATGCTGGGAGTGCAATGGGCTGTTGGAGTGAGGCTAGGTTGTAGTATCTGAAAAGTTTTCTGCTTTTTTATTTTTTTATTTTAGAATAGTAGCCATTCAAAAGAAAAAAGAAGTGAACACGAACCTTCTGACCTGTTGGGAAAGTAGTTAGAGCCTTCACAGTCTGTTTCATGCAGTCCACAATTTTGGGGGTCATTTTTAGAATAGGCTCCTTTAAACTTTGCAGGAAATTTTGCTAATAGAATATGCATCTCAGAATTTTCCAGTCAGTGTAAACTCTGATGCTTTTCTTTTATGTAGCTTCCTGCTCCTGATCCTGTTCCATCTTTCTCAGTGTATTTCAGTAACACTTTTTTGGAACAAATCTTTCTTAAGCCTTGATGCTTTCTAGCTGGTATGCTTGTTTTTGTGATCTGCCTATAATAGAAAAGTAAATAAAACCTTGGTTTCCATAGGCCAGCTAGCTAGGAGTTAATGGCTTCTAGCCCATGTCAAGCATATTGAATGGTGTTGTTTTAAGTACAAGCTCTTAATTCAGGGTTTTATGTGTTTAATTATGTATGTGTAAAGTGCCAGCTGCATGTCTCTTGGGTCCAGCCTAGCTTGGAAATATTAACTGCAAGAGCACATAGAAAGTACCATGGGTTGAGACTTAACTCTTGAGATGTACATCCTTTATCCCAAGATTCATGTGGTAGGGAACAGCATCCCAGTGGGAATAACAACAGAGCCAGCCTGTTAACTAAGGAAGCATCTCAATTAAGAAGAAATAAATTTGAGGAACCTGAAGCAGGCAGGCAGAGATCATTAGAGGCAATATGTTGTAGCAGAAAATACACTGGACTAGACCAGAGGAAAGTTAGTTTTTAAATCTGACTTTATTATTGCACTTCTCTGGGACCTTTTTTATTTTAAACCTATAAAATGAGATTGGATGCAGCTTTAATGAGAACAATCAGATGTTCACTAGTTAGTTCTGACCATTCACAAATAAGTCATAATTTTTTTTTCAAATTACAATGCTAAGCTTAAGTAATAACATAGTTTTTCACCCTAATGCAACTATAACAAAATATATCAATACACTTGTAAACTAGGGCCTTAAGGTTTAAACAACTTAAGGCTGATCAGTTGACTGAAGGAAGAAAACTCTTTTTGGAATTTCATTTGTTTAGAGGACCCAGGCCCCTTGGGTGAGATGGAGACCACTTCCTGTGCCCTACGAAGCACTTCAGGGAGAAAGGGGAGATTTTTCTTTTAACCAGAGTAGTCTGTGACTGTAAAAAGGTTTGGGAATTTCTAGTATACACTATATAAAGGGAACCTTTTACATTGCCAGTTTCATCATTTAATACACCCAGCCTTCTCTCTTCTTTGGGTATGTAGAATTTTCTCTTTTTATGTAGCACCGCAGACAGTATAGTCAAGAGTATGAGTCTATTACTCTCACCTTTGGGGAGCTATAGGACAGAGGAGAAGAAGTCTTAAGAAACATCAGAAATGATGTCAGTGGCTCCTACGTAGCAGGTGCTAACAGGAAGGGCCTGCTGCTCTCGGAGAACTGAAGTTTTCAGCAAATGGAGTTTTGATGTCAAGGAAGTGACATGGAACCTGAAAGGAAATCTTAAAAGCTGTTTCACTCCTGCCATCGGAGAACCAGAGTATTCAACCAGCCATATGACTGATCCCCCAGGAAGTCTCTTCTTTGGGCTATGAATTGGAGTGGATACCTTGACCCCGAAGTTTGTTCTTACCATTTCGAACTAGGTGGAGAATACTTATTTGTGAGTTGGGAGAGAACTAGAGAAGATGGCACAAAGGTTTTATAGAGTAGATTTTTCTACCTTTAATTCCCATTTGTAGCTTGACCTGTATAAAGTGTCATGTTGAAAAACCTATGTAAAGCAATGGGAAATAGATAATTTAATTTTTTGAAACCATAATTTATTCACCTACTGGCCCACACCTTTCCTGACTGTGCTGTCAGCTTCCTAACTTTGAACCACATATAGATGTGAAGTCTAGTAAAATAGGTTGTGAGTCAGTTTTTATTATGACCTCCATTTTTAGTTACTTGGAACTTTTAAGAGAGTTTCTTAGGCATTCAGAAAAGTTCATCCCTTAGCTAAAACTCCCTTGGTTTAATCTCTAAGAGAAGGTCCTAGTTCTTAGAAGACCTAATTTATTTCAAGGGGAGAAATCCATTGATAAAAGATCACAATAAAGCATAACAGTTTGGAAATACACACACTAAAAATAAAAAGGAATTACAAAAATAAACACAAATCACAGTTCTCAATCTGATACAGAATTTGCAGGGACATTAATAACATTTAACACTCCTCCTCCCCTTTTTTTTTTTAGCACCAGAGAGAGTACCTGCAGAGAGTATATGAATTCCTGAGGGCTTATGTCACTTAGTCACTTGATATGTTAGCGGATACATATCATTTGGGCCTTATTTTGCATCGACATTCTTATGGCACTGTTATAAAAGCTGCTTGAAGTATCACGCAGCTTTCAGTTTTTAAGAGGCCAATGAAAAATGGCTCTATGTTCCCCTCTTGTTTAGTCTTCCTCTTCCTCAATCTCCTTTCTTAGTTTTTCCCAGTTTGACTATCCTCTGATAGACTGTTATAGTGAACAGAACACCAAACTGGGAACAGTAAGATAGGAGTCCTTTGCATCTCCTACAAGTTTGCAGCTGTGTCTTTTTCCTCATCTGTAAAAGAAAGGAGTTCACATAGATGACAACTACTTTCTTTTCATCTCTAAAATTCTCTGTTGGCCTTTCTCATTGTGTCTACTGTCCTACATCTTCCCTCTTCCCTACTTCAGCTGCTCAGCATGCACAGTTGTTTAAAAATACTCATAAAGTAAATGTGGTTGTGAAGAAGTATCAATAAATGCAGTTGCTGGCAATCTCTGGAGTTTAGGAGTTCTTATGTTGGTAGTTTCCCACTTTGCCTTTCTTATGCACTAGTCAAATATAGTTTACAGTCATAATTTATTTGGTCTGCACAGTTGTCACAAAATAAAGCAATAATATATTTTTACTCAAAAGAGTAAAAATTTAAACACATTGTTGTGGGAATACATTTGGTGCTTTTTTTTCAGAGAGCAGTTTGGCAGTATCATTCATCATTTTTAATAGTATATATAAATTGACTCATTGACTCCCGAGGAACTTATATGCAAATATTAAGAGGTAATATCCAAGGATATACATTGATGTGTTGTTTGTAATAGTAAAGATTTGGAAATATCCTGTATTTGCATTAAGAAGGAAATACACACACACACACACACACACACATTTTTTCTCCATGTATAGTTGATAACCATATATCCATGTATATGGTTATCATACATATATTAAAAATAACACAATGAAGTTGATCTGTAAGTACTGACATATTTTAAGTAGAAAAACAAGACACAGAATGTTCACTGTGTTCACTATGATCCATTTATATAAAAACAACATAATTCTATATACATATATACATGTAATGTAATTATATATATACATATATGTGTGTGTGTGTGTGTGTGTGTGTGTGTGTGTGTGTGTA